GCATGGAAACCTGGTTTGTTTGTATGAAATTTGTTCTTTCCCTAGTTTTCTTCCATTACTTTCTTGGTTGAAGTTTTTTAATTAACCAAAATCTCTTTTGACAAAAACATTACTTTTATTTCCATGTTTTATTGCAACCATCTCTCTCTTTTCATTTCCTTTTCTGTTCTCAGTACCCTTTCCTTATTACGGCAAAACTTTTATGTCTCTTCTCTAAGCTGGTCTGGGGCTTGAAGAGAAGTCGGCTCTTTCATATCCTCTGTCTTGGATGCCTTTTTGGCTCTCGACTTGGAGAACTACTCACCTTTCAGAATCAGCTCAGATATTGCCTCCTCTGGGAAGCTTTCAGGACAAAAATTAGTCACTCCCTTCTCTGTGTTTCCATTCTTACTGACCATTCTTATGACATCTCGTACACGGAGATGTAATTAATTGTTTTCAGTCATCTTTCTTGTTTTTGCTTCAGTGTCAGAGAAATGACTGGTTTTTCTCTGTGTCCCCAGCTCCAGCTCAGTCCTTGTATATCCTAGATGTTCCATCACAGACCCAGGAAGGGGGTAGATTCGGTACTGTTCTGAAGGGCTGTCAGAGAGCTCTCCTTCTGCCCTTAGATGTCCTTCCTGGGATTGAATACCAGCCTGACCTTGACTTTCTGGCCTCACCTCTCTCTGTGCTACTATCTAGTCAGTGTGGGGGACTGGTAATATATTTCCTATAGAATCTTGAAACACAGAATGTTCAGTCCCTTACACCTTTAAGAGGTGGTTTGGAAATTGAGACCCAGGCCAGGCCTTGAGGGAATGAGGGTCCAGGATACATCAAGTTGATTGGGGCAGTTGTGTTTGGTTGTAAATGTTGGGAGTATGGGAAACTGGAAGGGTTGGGTAAGATGGGGGTCCACCCAGAAGGGGAGTGAGATAACCTAAGTCTAATTATAGTAGTTGCTTCAAGTAAAATCTGATGAGACTTACAGACATTTTTGTCAAAGAAACACATTCTGGAAAGAGAATTTATAAGGAAGCAAATTAATATATGTAGATTAATTTCCCATTATATAATTAATATTTTTCAATTTGAACAATCTTGTTTCCTTATTTAAGTAAAAAACTAATTTTCTGATTTAATGAATTATAAAACACAAAACAATATAATATTTCTTTATTATTGATTTTAAAGAGAGAGGAAGGAAGAGGGAGAGAGAGAGAGAAGTATCAATTAGAGAGAACATTGATAGACCACTCCTGCAGGCCCCCCACTGGGGATTTGGCCCACAACCTGGGCATGTGCCCTGACCAGGAATCAAACCCGCAGCCTCTTGGTGCATGGGTCAACACTCAACCACTGAGCCACACCTGCTGGGCAATATTTAATATTTCTTTAGAAAAATATCCATAAAGCATTCTGTCTAAAAAAAAGGAAGAAACAAAAAAATAATGTACTACCACCCTGTCCGGTGTGGCTCTGGATAGAGCATCAGCCTGTGTACCAAAGGGTTGGGAGTTTGATTCCCGGTCAAGGGCACGCACCTGGGTTTCTTTGGACCACAGGCCAACCCTCTTACCGCTGAACCAAACCGGCCAGGGCTCCTTATCTTTTTTAGAAAATTGATTTGAGAGAGAAAAAGAAACATCTATTTGTTGTGTCACTGGCTTATGCATTCATTGGTTGATTCTTATGTGCCCTGACTGGGATTGAATCCACAACCTTTGCGTATATGGATGACGCTCTAACCAACTGAGCTACCCAGCCAGGACCCATTCCCTTAGAATTACTTTTTTTTTCTTTTTTGGTAGTGAAAACAGCTAGATTTTGTTGTTGATGGTGAAGACCTCTGTTGTGGTAGGGAGGTAAACGGGTGATCCAGGTGAGCATAGGTGGGTGATTGGGAAGGTGGGAGGACAAGGAGGCATATCTACACCTTTGCTACTCAAGACCTGTCCTGGGAATGGTTTCCTGCTGCCTCCTGCTCAGACAAGAGAGCCAGATGGGCTCCGTTACCCTGGCAGATGTAGGTGTAGCACTGGCGGTGGCCCAGCAGGTGGCAGCACAGCCCAGAGGTCTAGGCAGCTGCCAGCCTTTCTTGGCAGTAGATGTGGGAGTGGAATGAGGCACCTGCTAACAGGCTCTTCCCTGGGGCCTCTGGCAACTTGCCTCTAAATGTCCTTAATTAGCACACTTTGGATAGAAGTATTTATTGGTTCTCTCTGAGATGTGGAAGTTCTAAGTCCAAAACTCCTCCTCCTGGGAGGTTTGAGCAGCAGGTAAGGTATGCAGGCAGAAGTGAGGGCAAGCCCTCAGGAAGCAGAGGGCAGATTCAGGGATTCTGTGCTCTGCCTTCCCTTAAAACAGCCTAGTGGGTAATATATGAAAGAAAATGGTAGCTGTTATTTTTACTAATATAAGAAATACTACTTTTATTTTTTTTCAAGTCAGAGATATGGAAAGATAAAAACTAAAAATGGACTATATCCTCCCCACAAAGATAACCTCTGTTGACAATAAAAAATGATAGTAAAATAAGATTTAAGATTTGAACATTTGAACTACAGAGTGGCATAAAATGAGATGTAAATATTTCCTTCCCCTCCAACTTTAGCTTCTCTCCAAAGGAAACCACTCTTATGGTTCTTATGATTGCTTTGAGGAAAAAAGAAAACAGAAGCTATGCACATGCCAGAGTATCTCTAACTATTTTTATTTCATTTATTTGTTTATTTTAAACCCCAAAGTGGTCATATTATATAATTGTTCTAAACCGTTTTTTTCCACACACTGTATCTTAAAGATCTTTTTCATTTTCTTTTCTTCTTCTTTTTAATCCTGACCCGAGGATATTTTTCCAATGATTCTTAGATAGAGTGGGAGAAAGGGAGGCAGACAAAGAGAGAGAAACATCAATGTGAAAGAGACACATCAATTGGTTGCCTCCCGCACGACCCTGACCGGGGCCAGGGATCGAACCTGCAACTGAGGTATGTGCCCTTGACTGGGAATCGAATCCGAGACTCTTTGTCTGAGGGCCGACACTCTAACTGCTGAGCTAAACTGGCCAGGGTTTTTTTTTTCTTCTTTGTTTTAAATTAAGGTATAATTGATATATAACATCATATTAGTTTTAGGTATACAACACAATGATTCAGTACTTGTATATATCATGAAATGTTCACCACAGTAAGTCCAGTTAACATTTGTCACCACATATCATTACAGAATTCTTATTTTATTTTATTTATTTTTTAATCCTCACCCAAGGACATTTTTGCATCTATCCTCAGATAGAGCAGGAGGAAGAGAGAGAGAGAAACATCAATGTGAGAGAGACACATTGACTGGTTGTCACCCACACGACTCCAACAGGGGCCAGGATGAACCGCAGCCCAGGAACGTACCCTTAATGGGAACTGAACCTGGAACTCTTGTCTGCAGGCCGACACTCTAACCGCTGAGCCAAACAGGCCAGGGCCAGAATTCTTTTTTTTTTATCCTCACCCGAGGACATTTTCCCATTTTTTGTTCAGATAGAGTGAGAGGGAGAGAGAGGAGGGCAGAGAGAGAGAGAGAGAGAGAGAGAGAAGAGAAAATCGACGTGAGAGAGACACATCTAGTGGTTGCCACCCACACGACCTCAACTGGGGCCAGGGACAAACTGCAGCTGAGGTACGTGCCCTTAGCGGGAACTGAACACGGGTCTCTCTGGACTGCAGGCTAATGCTCTAACCGCTGAACCAAACTGGCCAGGGCCAGAATTCTTTTTTTAAAAATTATGTTTCTAGCCCGACCGGTGTGGCTCAGTGATTGAGATTGTTGGTTCCATTCCTGGTCAGGGCACATGCCCAGGTTGTGGGCCAAATCCCCAGTGGGGGGCATGCAGGAGGTGGCCAATTGATATTCTCTCTCATCAATGTTTCTATCTTTCTCCCTCTCCCTTCCCCTCTCTCTAAAAATATCAATTAAGAAAAATAAAATTTATTTTAAAATGTTTCTATTGATTTTTTTAGAGAGAGAGAAACATTGATCAGCTGCCTTCTGGACGCCCTCTACTGGGGTTCAGGCCTGCAACCCAGGCATGTGCCCTGACCTGGACTGAACCAGGACCTCTCAGTCCATGGGATGACGCTCAATCCACTGCGCCACACTGGCCGGGCTTTTCTTTTCTTTTTTAATCCTTGCCTGAGGATATGTTCTCATTGATTTCCAGAGGGAGAGGAAGGGAGAGAGTGAGAGAGAAAGAAACATCAATGTGAGAGAGAAACATTGATTGGTTGTTTCCCTCATACACCCTGACCAGGGATGGAACCTGCAGCCCAGGTATGTGCCCTGACTGGGAATCAAACCTGTAACCTTTTGGTGTATGGAATAACGCTCCAATCAACTGGGCCACCCGACCAGGGCTTTTTTTCCCCCTTAGGATGAGGACTTGGAGATCTCTCTAGTCAGCACACACAGGCTTCCATATATCATAATTTTTAAAATGGATCTCTCTGTTGATGGAAATTTTGGTTGGTTCCAGTGGGGGGGCTAATATAAATAGTGGTGCAGTGGGCATCCTTGTATGTTTATTTTGGCATATTTCTACATGTCTGAATTCCAAGGAGTGGGTCAAAGGGAGAGTATATTTTACATTTTGATGGCAAAATTTTCCTCCAGAAAGGCTGCCGCAGTTCTCATGCTTATGAGGGGGTGGGAATGCCTGTCTCCAGGTGGCTGTGGAGAACCTCCCTGCCAGGAGCCCTTCGACATTCATGGTGATGAGACTGGTGCTGGGCAGGAAGTAGGCCCAACCCCTCTGCTTCGGGCAGTCCTGGGCTCCCTCCATGGCCTTTGCCTCCTCTGCTGCAAGTCTCCTCCGTGACTCTGAGGTGACTGTCTCAGTGTGGGAGCCAGCAGCCTCTCTTTTAGGGATGGAGAGCACATTCTGGATTTCCCTTATTGCTTTAGCGAGGTTTTCCTGTTTGTCCTGAGTTAGAAAGAGTGAATGATCACGTCTTCTGACTCTTCAGGTGAAGAAGGCATATAGGCAGAAGGCCCTCTCCTGCCACCCAGACAAAAATCCGGATAATCCCAGAGCAGGTAAGACAGGGCATGGTGTGTTTCCCACCTGTCCCCCGTGGGAATGCTGTGGAATGTGGGTGCACACAGCCCGGCTTCTCATGCGAGGGGTGTCTGGTCGGTTGCTGATGCACTCACCCTTCCTTGCTGGTCTGTCATATGCTGATGTCAGCTTTTCTGCCAGCCTGTGGCCTCTTCAAGGTGCTTTTTGAGGGAGTATACCATCACCAAGTCTAATTTAATTTTTCTTCTCTGTTTTCTCATCTTTGTGTTTAGCTGAACTCTTCCACCAGCTTTCTCAGGCCTTGGAGGTACTGACTGACGCTGCAGCCAGGGTAAGCACATCCTCCTCTCTCTGAATTGTCCCCATGGTTAGAGACCACCGTGGTGCTTTGGTCTCAGTCCTCTGTACTCTGCCATGCAGCACAGTCCTTGCTGTTCCGGCCTAGAGACCCTCCCAAGGCTCTGGGGCTAGGCAGCGGGGCCAGGAAGGTGGCTGGACCCTCTGCTTGTTCTCTGGCTGACTCCTTGGTGTTGCTTTCTCCTGCCAGGCCGCGTACGACAAGGTCAGGAAAGCCAGGAAGCAGGCAGCAGAGAGGACTCAGAAGCTAGATGAGAGGAGGAAGAAAGTGAAGCTTGGTAGGTGACATCGTGGTGCTGGGTGGCCTGCAGCTTCCTGGGCTGTTTTCATGCAGTAGCCTCACCTTTCTTCCTGGAGCTTCTCAGTTCCAGCAACTCAAGGCTTCTTGGCCCAGCTCTGGGAAGAACCCTGTTCTCAGGGGTGGATCCTAAAGGACACTCTCAGGAATAATAACAATGACTAGATTTACTGTTAGCTAAGCACTGTGACGTGTGTTTTATTGTCTCTTTTAATTATCACAGTGCTCAAAGGAAGTGGGTATTACTAAACCCATTTTTTGTAGACAAAGAAGTTAAGGCACGACAGGAGGAAAACTTGCTGGAGCTGTGACTTAAACCCACGCAGTACGAGTAGATCCGTGTTCTTGTTCACCATGCCACCCTGGGCCTTTTTATTCATCCCAGCCTCTTTCTCACAGCGCTTTCAGTCTGTGAAGTCCCCGCAGAAGGACCCAAAGAGGTCCAGGCATTCTTTTTTTTTTTTTAAACAGCCTTATTAAGGTATATTTTTATATTCTAATATCCACCCATTTCAAGTGTACAATTCAATGATTTTTAGAAAATTTACCAAATGGTGTAAATATGACTGTAAATCAATTTCATCACCCCAAAAGGCTGGTCCAGACATTCTTCACTCAATTTTCTCTCCATCTTCTTGCCTTTTTGGTGTCCATATGTTTAATATGTACATATACCATCTCAGTGCATCCGTCTCTCTATCAAAAACAAACAAAAAACCCTGGCAATTATAGGTAAATAAAGTGCACAGAAAAGAAAACGTTGAGTCTCAGGCCTGAGAAAAGGGTTTGTCACAGCAGCTGGTCTGGAACAGGGCCACAAGCAAGTTGGAAGGACATCTCTTGATGTCCTCGCACAGAATCTGCCAACCCTGTAGGATTCACAGTGAGGCTTGGTAAATGTGAGTTGAGGGGGAGGTGAAGGAGACAGTGACAACCTGAACTCGGGAAACGCATCAAAGCCAAGGCAAGATCACAGGTCAGGCTGTGCTGCCAAACCAAGGAACAGAAGCCAACAGCTCCACCCACTGGCATCCCTGACACATAGCCCTGGGTTGCTGACATAAGCACCCGCCCACACCCTGTTCACTGATCAGACAACCAGCTTGGTCAGTGTGAGCTGATTTAACTCTTCCAGACCACGGCCACTCAACTGGAGCCTATACTTCTGTGCTACGACTTTTTCTCAATGAAAGTTAATTTGGGAGCCCATGGGCATGGAGGGAGGGGCCAGAGTCACTGTATGGGTTCATCCTGTGTGGGACTGGGGAAGCAGCCAGAGCTGGGGGTGATGAGGCCATGTAGAAGCTGCTTAGACCAGCCACTGGGTCATTAACCCTTGTGCCTAGACCTAGAGGCCCGGGAACGGCAGGCTCAGGCCCAGGGCAGTGAGGAGGAAGAGGAGAGCCGGAGTACCAGGACACTAGAGCAGGAGGTGAGCGTCTGGGCATGTGGGCCTGAGGCCATCTGCAGGAGGTGGGGGAGGGTGGACTGTGGAGGCTGTGGTGGCTGGGGAGGTCATGCCTTCCCACCTTCTTCTGTGGGATCTGGGAAATCTGTCCCACCCGCAGGTTGCTGAGCCCTAGCTTACAGGTGGAACCTCCCAGGGACCTTTACAAGGGGAACCAACCTGGAATTGGACCTGCACAGAATTGTCACCTCCCAACCTCCCGCTCTGCAGATCGAACGCCTGCGAGAAGAGGGTTCCCGGCAGCTGGAGAAACAGCAGAGGCTGATCCAGGAGCAGATACGCCAGGAACGGGAACAGAGGTTGAGAGGTGAGAGTCCATCACCTCCATCCCCCACCCCCACCCCCCCGCACTCTGAGGAAGCTCTCTGTGGAGTCACTGTGGAGACTTCCACCTGCTGGAATCCTCTTCCACCTGCTAGAATCCTGGGGGCACCCCACACGTTCTGTCCTCCTACCAGTTCTTAGGGACCTATTTACTTTTCACTCTGACCTGGTCTCCTGGTCCGGTATGTCTTAGTCCCAAGTAGTGCTGGCTTCGTTTTGGAACAGGTCACCAGGAGAAAGGCTCTGGGATACTTTGTTTTAGTAGAACCGTGTGGTCTGTATTTCTGCGTCCTGCCCCCAGGAAGTGTTTAAAGCCTTGCGTTGGCAGAACACTAACCGTGCCCTTCAGCAGGCAGCTGGGCAGATTGCCCCTGGGGTAGCAGCTCCTGGGGATAGGGATGCAATTGCCTCTCCTACCCCCACCCCCCCCAGGCTCCTGAGCAGGGGCATCTATTGCCCTTGGTCAGAAGTGACCTTTTCTAGGTCCTTCTGGCCTTGAGCTGTGTCTCCTTTGGGAGAAATTCTCTCTCCCTCATTCTCTTGCTAATTTCCCCAAATTTTCTAGGAAAGGCAGAAAATCCTGAAGGCAAAGGAACTCCCAAGCTAAAGGTAAGCCCCGTAGGGACACATGAGTCACCTCATGCTACCTCCTCTCAGCAAAATAGATACTTTCTGTGGCTCAAGGGGTCCGGGGGGGGGGGGGGCACTGGATCTCTGGGAGCCAGCACCACTACGCACATCCTTCCATCCTCACACTGCCGGGGATCAGGGCCGCCCTCAGAGCCCAGCATGGAAGGCTGCTCTTAGCCCTGACTGTCGCAGGCAGCACTCCCAGAGGCCTGCAAAGAGAGCATCTCACAGGTCTGGAAACATGGCTGTAGTGAGCAGGCCACCCTGCTTGTCCATTTTCAGGGGGACACATTTTGGAGGGGTTCTCCATAGATTACTGTTCAGCCTGTAAAGCTCAGGTGTGGGGTCTGGTGCGTTCAGGCGAAGGTTGGTGTTCAGTGGGGACAACGGCTGCTGTTTTTCCAGCTCAAATGGAAGTGCAAGGAGGACGGGTCGAAAGGTGGCTACTCCAGAGATGTCCTCCTGCGGCTTTTTCAGAAGGTCTGCCCTGCTGACTTCCCTCTTTCCCATCGCCTCAGTCCAGGCCCCAGCATCTCCATGCCTAAACGTCCCTCACCACCTCTCCCTGCCCTTGTCCCTGTTCAGAAACCATAGGATAGCTCACGGTCTTTGACCCTCCACTCCCTTGTGTTGCGTGTGCCCCATCCAGCCTGTCTCACCTTCACTGCCCAGGTCTGCCCTTGCCACCCAAGAAGCAGAGGGCTTGGCTGAGTTTGGGGATAGAAGAGGTGGGCATCTGGCACAAAGCTTGTCCCCTTCACCCTTGTCAGTCATTAGGCAGCTTTGCAACACTGCCAGTCCAAGTCCCAGTCCTTTGTCCAACTCTCCTTGCTTTCCTTCTGCATTCCTGGAAAAAAATCTTTTCCTTCCACTCAGCTGGTGTGGCTCAGTGGATTGAGCATTGTCCCATGGACTGAGAGGTCCCGGTTTGATTTCTGCGTCCTGCCCCCAGGACACATGCCCAGGTTGCAGGCTGGATCCCCAGTGGGGGGCATGCAGGAGGCAGCCAATTGATGTATCTCTCTCACATCAATGTTTCTCTCTCTCCCTTCCTCTCTCTCTAAAATATAAAAAATAAAATTTTAAAAGTCCTTTCCTTCCTATCTCTGATCTTCCCTCTCTGGGAACCTGGCAATGAGAGGTTATCCCCCCACTGAACATGCCCTGGTGGGCCTCAGGACAGCCCAGGCTTGTCTCTGGCATGAGCTGGGCCTGCCTTGTCCCCACAGTATGGAGAGGTGCTCAACCTGGTACTTTCCAGTAAGAAGGCAGGCACCGCCGTGGTGGAGTTTGCAACCGTCAAGGCTGCGGTGAGTGCTGCGTGAGGGTTGGGGGAACCACTGCCAGGATAGGAACTCAGTTCTGTGGGTACCCTGAGGCTAGGTATCCACATACCCAGGGAATCTTCGGGCCATCTCAGAGCCAAGGTCCCCCAGAGGGTCTGACTCCTGGGAGTACAGGCATGGTGAAGAGGGGATGGGTAGGAGAATGCTCTGGGATATAGGGGAGCCCACTTCATTTCCTGCTGCCTGGCTCCACACCTCCATTCTGCCATGAGAGCTGGCATGCCTCCAGGTTGGAGCCCACCCTGTCAACCCCTTCTCCAACCACCCAGTCAGAGGGCTGGTACTTGACTCGCCCATGAGGAGGGTCAGAGCTTTAGCACAGCGTCATGGGAAAGAGCCCAGCTTTGCAGTGGTTCTCAGCCTTCCTAGTGTCGCGGCCCTTTAATGCAGTTCCTCATGTTGTGGTGACGCCCAACCATAAAATTATTTTCGTTGCTACTTCATAATTGTAATTTTGCTACTGTTATGTCTTAGGCAACCCCTGTGAAAGGGTCATTTGACCCCCATAGGGGTCACAACCCACAGGTTGAGAACGCTGGCTTAGAGGATGAGCTTGCTGGTGCTGGTACTGCTGTGGGGGTAGAGCCACTCTGTCACTGATTCTCACTGATGGGACTAACTGGATGCTGTGTTTGGCAGGAGCTGGCTGTCCAGAATGAAGTGGGCCTGGTTGATAACCCTCTGAAGATTTCCTGGTTGGAAGGACGGCCCCAGGGCAAGGATGGCCCCAGCCACCTAGGACTGTCACAGGTAAAGAGCCAGGCCTCACACAGGTGGGCCTGCTCAGGGTTTGGGGAACCTTTTCCTGTTTGCGCTCTTCTCAGAGATCTTTTCTCGCAAATCCAGGTCATCTCGATGGAGTGAGATTTGCAGGTCCCCAACCAGAGCAGGGGGACTGATTTTGTGATGACCCCCTTTCCTCTCTGAGTGCCAGTGGGCTGTACCCTGCACAGAATCCTTAGACATTTTTTTCCTCCACATCCCAGTCTCCTGTTGGAGACCATCATCGTCACCCAGAGGGGCTTTCCTGGCCCACAGGCTGCTTGGTTTGGTGTGAAGCATTCGGGGAAGGGGTGGAGGACAGGGCAGCTGCGTCCACTTCCATCCCCAACTCATTTTTCAGGTGTGTCTGTGGCCGCCCAAGACAGGACCTGCTGTCAAAAGGTGATAGCTGCTCCTGGAAATAACACTAAAAACCACACTGACACTGGGGCGCTCGCTGCCCGCGTGCCCACCTCACAGTGAAGCACAGACTTCAGCTCATGTGTCCTCAACAGCAGAAGTTTGTCCTCACAGCTCCATGAAGGCTTTGGTTTAGCAACACACGCACACACACAAACATGCGCGCGCGTGCCCTAGTCATACCTGCTCTCACTTTGGTGGGACAAAGAGCTTTTAGACCAAGAGTTCTCCCTTCTCTGAAATGGCCCGAGGGTGTGTGGGGGAGCCTCAGATTGGTATGTTCACCAGCCCCTGTGGGGAGAGAATGCCCAGGAAGGTCGGCAAGGCCTTTCTTCTCAGTCACTCCACCCCCTGCTTTCCTGCTTGCCCCTCACCTGGCCGTGAGAAGGGGAAGCTCTCTGGGAGTGTGTCCCAGACCTGGACAGAGGAAGACAGGAGCTGGTCTGAGCCCAACTCGAGACCTTTTAGGGAGCTCATTCCCTTACCATTAAATCCCAGCATTTCACAGCCCCAGACAACATTCCATAGGCTGCTACATAGAACTTTATTTATTATCTCCCGCAGCCAGAGGGGAGCCTCTCCTCGGGCACATCCACGCAGGTGGAGGGAGACGGAGGCCACAAGTTAGGGCTGTGGACGCAGTGTGTGTCGAAGCTTCCCTCTCTCACTGCCAGCCTGGAATCTCAGAACCACGTGGCTCAGCCAACTTGAGCTCTGCTTTCAAGTCTTCTGGCCAAGCCACAGTGTGGGGCAGTAGTAGCACAGTGTGTGGCCGTGACCCAGTGGCCCTGGGTGGTAGGCCCCCGTTGGCGAGGGTTTAGGCAAAGCAGAGCTCCCCAGTCCTGGCGGAGGGTTCTGGAGACCAGCTGTGCTCTTCCCGGGAATAGCCATGAGTTCTGTGTCCATCCCCTGGTTCAGTCCTCCTGTGTTCTCAGGGGCAGGGTGGAGGGAAAGCTGCCATTGTTCTTGCTGCATTTCCCAAGGGCTCCCGTTGGTAATAACCTGGGCACTCCCCAGGCAGCCTTCGGCTGGCATTTCCTTGGAACCACCTTCCTCAGGCACCAGCGTCTGCTCCAGGCAGCTGTGCTGGCAGCTTGACTCGTGTGCCCCTTCCTGCTGACGGTTTGTGTGGCCTTCTCCTTATACTGGTTATCTCTACATGCCTCTCTCTTCCTCCTCTGCCAGCCCTCCCCTCTGTTGCAGGCCCCGCACTTCCACCCCCGACTGGGGCTCCCAGCCACGGCCTGGGCCAGCAAGTCTGACAGACTTGCCCACGAGGTTGGTGTTCACCTCCACCATCCAATGCGGCAGCCATTAGTCGTGTGTGGCTATTGAGCATTTGAAATGCAGTAGTGCTGCTGAGGAACTAAATGTTTAATCTTACTTAGTTTCAATTATTTAAATGTAAACAGCCACATATAGCTGGTGGCTACCATACTGGACAAAGTCAAGCCTGTCTCATCCTCTCCCCTCAGGTCTCCCCACTTCCCCTAGACCCGTCTTGTCACCTCTCTCTGTTGTCAGTAGCTTCAGAGGGGGCTGGGGCAGATCATCTGATCTGTCCACTCCCTGACTCGCCCCTTGTGCCCCCCACTCCTCTACTGGCCTCTGCCTGGTCCCCTTCCCAGCTCAGCCGCTGCCTTTAGGGCTCTTGTCAGCAAGTGTCCCGCACGTTTCCAGCCTCTACGCCTCTCCCTCTACTTGGGGTGGCCCGGAGGACTGTTGAGGACCCAGAGGGCAGGCAGGGCCCTGGATTTCTATCTGCACCTTTTTCTTTTTTTTTTCTTTTTTTGTACGTGCCCCTAGCGGGAACCGAACCTGGGACTCTCTGGTCCACAGGCCGACACTCCAGCCGCTGAGCCAAACTGGCCAGGGTTGCACCTTTTTCTTAATCCACAACTATGCCTTCCTTCCCTGGGTCCCCAGGCTTTCGGCTCTTCCAGTCACCGCACCTCTGCCCACCCTCCCCCTATTCAGAAGCTGGGCTCACTGGGAAATTGCTCCCTCAGCATCTGTAAAACTTCCTCAAGAAGTGACATCCCCAAGTCCACTTTGAAGGAGAAGAAGGGGTCATTAAGGTCTGGAGCAGGTGTCCTCTGGAAGGGGGGGGGAGTGTCCACAAGGTCCCCCTTGGAGTATTCGTGGAGGGGGCCTGCCAGGGAACGCGCCGAGGACAGGGTAGCCGAGTAGGCAGCAGTGTAGGCAGGTGAGGGCTCCAGGATGTTGGGGCAGCTGGAGCTCTCTCGGTAGAGGCGTGGGGGCTTGGGTGGGGCCAGAAGGGTGGCCCGAGGCTGCTCATCCCCCCACAGTGGCAGGCGCCGGCCATCCGGCCTCCCTTGAAGCTCCCGGATGACCTCTCTGTTGCTGTACTCCTCATGGTCCCCGCCAGCCAGGCTGGCCTGGCTCAGCACACTGCCCTGCCGTCGGAGTCCCCGAGGCCGCCCCAGGCTCAGCCGCTTGAAGAAGGAGGCATTGCGAAAGGAGCCTTTCCGCCAGGTGTCCATGGGACCTAGGGAGCCAGCAGACCTTAGGAGTCCAGTTCAAGAGTGGCTGGGGACCATTTGGTCCCTGCTGGAGCAGTGAGTGACAAGAAATGGGAGACAGTCCATACAGGCTTCCAGCAGAGGCCTCCAGCTTTCTGCCCAGCACAGACCTCAGGCCAGCATCACGGACAGTGAGACGAGGTCCCAGGAAGAGGGGAGCAGAGTGCTGCGAGTTCTTGGCGGCAGGAGTTTCCCAGAGGGCCAGGAGTGACCTGGTTACTTGATAGGGCAGTGGAAAAACCCCGAGAGGAAGAAGCAGCACTTACTGGAGCCGGAGTGAGAGCAGCTTCCGGGGGTCAGAGATAGTTCTTCTCAGGTGGGCAGGAATGGCCTCTGCTGCTTCCCCTGTACCATCTCGTCCCAGCCCCAGCCCCAGCTCGCCTCTGTGCCTCTGTCCGCCGTGGCTCCCTGCCTCCGAGCAGTGCCCGGCTGGCCGTGCGGGTGTGTGGCGAGGAGGTGTGTTGTTGTTCTCAGTTGACTCAGTCAGGTGGGAAGCTGGGTTTCATGCTCTGAGGTAATTGCAGCATCCGCATGAGGAGTTGGGGCAGCCGTGGCCAACACCCCAGGGCCACTGGGGAGCTGAAGATTCCTCTGGGGACTCTTCTAGGGGCAGCCCTGCTCAGTGCGTCACCACACTGTCTCTTTTTACCCCACCACCCCAGGCCCTAGCCGGCAGAGTGGCTTCCCAGCACCCCACCCCCCCTCCACCCCCGTGTGTCTGGGAGAGAGGAGCTCGGGGAGGGTGGCAGTTAACTGAATGGCAGGCGTGTGGAACAATTGTTGGGGAAGGAAGAGACCTGTAGCTAGTGTGGGTGACTCAGCCCTGGGGCCTGGTGACAGGCCCTCATTAGCAGAGCCCACAGGTATGGGGGTAAGGAGGCAGAGGGTGTGTCAGTAGGAAGCAGCCCCATGCCAATAAAGGGTTGGCTCCTTCCAGGGCTGGGCTCAGCGCATGCCAGGGTGACTCGAGTTTGCTCAGCAGAGCACTATTACCTCGGCCTGACACCCAGTCTATCTGCTGTTTCCTCATCTTTCAGATTTACCAGAGGGCCTCAGGGCAGGAGAGAGCAGCTAAGGGGCAGGGCCCTGCTGCCTCCCACCCTGTGCTCCAGTCCTTCCCCATGGGCTGCCTGGGCCTCACTTGAGGTCTCTCTGTGGAGGGGGCTAGGTCACTAAATTTTCAGCAGTGCTCTGGGCCAAGCGGAGATAGTGGGCCTGGCTGGGAGGGCAACTCTCCCCAGAGCTCTGCAGCCCTTAAGAGAGGAAAGAGGGGCAGGGCTATTGGGAGGAGCAAGGGGATTTGGCTGAATAACACTTCCTGGTTCTGTACACCCCTCACTACAAACCAGTTGGCCAGGGCCTGGCATCTTAACTCCAGCCACACCCTTCTTAGTCCCTGGGGCACTGACCACCAGACTTTCCTCCTGCCTTATTCCATGAGAGTCACCAGTTTGGCATACACAGATCAGGCTCCACACCTTTGCCTGCTCTGGAACCCCCAGCCTGCTTGCTTCTGTGCCGACTCAGGTGGGCTTCAGACGTCACACAGCTCCAGCTGCCCTGAGGGAGGAAGTGGTTTCATTCCCACTGCAGACCTTATCAGGGCGTGGGGTTGGCAGCTCAGGGCTCGTGGCACCGTGGAGCCTCCTCTCCACCCCATGGCCTTGGCCCACTGAGGTGGTGGGGTTTTTTTGAGGTGGTTGTTTATTATTCTTTTGGTTATTAAAATACAGCAGTCTTTAATCCCCGTGCTCTGCTGGCAAGGTCATGAAAGAAAAGCTGCAGGCCCTACCCTCCAGAAACCCTGGTGTGCATTTTTAGGAGGCAAGCCAGTCAGTCCCATGCTTGTTTCTCTTTTTTAGGGTGGGGCTGATTGAGGCTGTGTCTAGGGTAGGGCTTCCTTCTCCTGTGACCTCAGCAGGAGCCAGTCCGCAGGGAAGATGGGCAGCTGGGAGGCAGCAGTGCCGCCCCCTCTGCCTGGCAGAGCAGAGTGGGTTCCCTTCACTGGACAGCGGTGAGAGGCAGTGGGGGGTGGGGGGGGCGGGAAGGGCCTGCCTAGAGCATGAGGAAGTGAATCTCCTGGGAAAGGTGAGCAGAGCTGACTGTAGAGGTGAAGGACCTGAGAGGGAGGGAGGGGAAGGTGGTAAGTGGTTGAGACTGGCTGAGAAGCTGGCCTGGAGGCCACAGGCCTGCTTGCTCCAAGGGAACATGGATGAACTGGGATTGCAGGCTGCTCCAGGGTCCTTCCTTCCTGGGCATCCTTCTTCCTTGAGTCTTTGACTGTAGCTCTGCCTAGGCCTGTCCTCCGAGTATGGAGTTTATGGGGTTGTGCCTGATGCTCTGACCACTCTGGGTCCCTCCTTTGTCCCCCAGGGCTCTGTGGTGTCCGAGAGGGACTACGAAAGCCTCGTCATGATGCGCATGCGCCAAGCAGCTGAGCGGCAACAGCTGATCGCCCAGATGCAGCAGGAGGACAACGTGGGGCAGCCCACATAGCCTCCAGCCCTACTACTCCACAGCCCTTTTCTTAAACCTCACCAATAAATTGTTTTTTTAAAGTCTACTTCTGTTGCATACATAGGTGTAGGGTGCTGGCCTAAGTATGGCCCTGGGTCTGGGCTCTGCCTCCAAGCCCTGCCCAGGCTAGCTCTCCCTCCCTGGCAGAGGAAAGACCCCCAGAGAGGTGCTCCACTTGCTGAGAGTCCCTGCACACGCAGAGCTTAGGATCAGCCAAGCATCACAGCCCTTTATTGACTTGGATTAGCTACGTAGCACCCACCCGCCCAGTGCTGGGGCCATGCTCCTGGCCAAAGGCAGTCGGCTCTTGCCAGCCCCTCAGCCTGCTCATGAACGTGGACTCCTCCAGAACCCTCAGCCAGGCCAGAAGGTGGAGGGGCAGCTGGGAGCACCACGGCAAGGGGCCTGCCCTCCCTGCCTCTGCCGAGACAGGTTTCAAGAAGGCTGTTAACTGCCCAGTGGTGCTGGGCCGGGGATAATGACGATTTGGGAAAAGGGGCAGGGCAGTGAGTGAGGCAGGGGCTTGGGATCAGGGCTCATTGGCAACCACTCAAAGAAGGGGTGTCCTGTCTGTTCCTCGGTGTGAGGGTCACTCCTTGTGCAGGCACCACACCAGTGTCTGGCCCACCCCTGTCATGCTCAGCACACGGAAGCCCCTGCGTTCCAGCTTGTCCAGGACTATTCGAGGAGGGTCATTGACGTAGTACTCATAACTGTAACAGAGGAGAGGAGGCAGCGTGAGGGGGTACACAGTGCAAACGCCTCCGACAAAGCTAGTAGCTGCTGAAGACCATGCCTGTCGGGACTGGTATTAGCTGGTGTCTTCCAGGTCCTAAGTGCGTATATCCATCCCCACCCCCAACCCTTTCCATGCATCATCTCACTCATTTCAACAACCCGAGGAAGGCACCATTATTGTTCTCATTTTATAAATGAGAATACTTGGAGGGCTTAAGTCGTTTTCCCAATATCATAAGACAGTAGAATCTGTGTTAGTCTGATGACAGCCCCATGTGCCCTAAGCTGCTGCTCTCCAGGAAGAACCGGCTGCTCTTTCCAGGGTCCTCACGTGGACTGGGAAGGGCAGCCCAGTCTTGGGGCAACAGTTTGACCCCTAATAGTCCTGACTCTGGATGCCTCTCCCCAGCACACAGTTGGAACCAACTCGCCTCCCTTTTGCTCCCCTCTCTGACTACAGCTCATTCTGGGGACACTTCCAAGGAGTTCTAGCCTGTGGAGCAGAGTTCTTCCTGCCTACGGGGTATGAAGGGGAAGGGGCAGAAAAGGAAACAGCACTCACTGTTTAAACTCCGAACTGATGTGAAGAATGCCAGAGTGGCTGAGTGCCCAGGCAGCTGGTTGAGCTGGAAGTAGGACCCAGGCTGCCTGCTCCCTGTTTCTAGGTCTTAGCTTTGTTAATCAGCCAGCTCCTCAAGGCAGAAACCTCTTCCTCTGTGCCTGTCTTTGCCTTGATAAGGTCTATCTTGGAGACAGAGGGCAGAGCAAGGAAAAATCCACTTACATAGTCCTGTTTCTAGGGAACTGGACTCTGTCCTGGGGCTGTACTTTGTCCTTGGGCTCTCTTAGGAAGGGATGGCCAGTGAGAAAGCCTTCAGAACAAGTCGGGGTGGGGGGATGGGGGCTGTGAGGCCCCAGAGGGGACTGACCCTACAAGAAGGCAAAGCCCCAGGAAGCAGGCAGAGGGATTCTGAGGTTGGGCAGTGGCTTTGCCCCTGGTCTTAGTGGTGTGTGAAGGGAACAGGGACAAGTCTAGGGCTAGTGAGAAGATACTTAAGAATGCCATTACTTACAAGTTGTTTCCCAGGACACCTCTTTTTGAGGCCCCCAAATGCCGCATCAGCTCTGGATCCGAGTACTCATCGCCCACCATGGTGGGGCCCACCTCCTGCAAGGTAAGCCACAGTGCATGCTTGGCTGGCCGCGGGACAGAAGTAGAAGGTCTTGCCTCTCCTCCTTTCCCTGCCTGCTGGCCCTGAGTCAGCTTCAGGCAAAGGTTGGAGGGGTTGGTGAGAGACCCTGAGGGCCAAGAACAAGCTGGAAAAGGGTAAGGTCAGTCAGTGACCCAACCTAAGGCTTCTCTAGCTCCTCCAGGCTGAGCTGGGAAGTACCTGAACCGGCACCTACATGCGCCACCTACCACCGGTGTTTGGTGTGTATCAGAGTCAGCTGGAGAGCAGAGAAATGGGAGCCTGTCCACACAAAATCTTTTTATTTTTTATTTTTTATCCTCACCCGAGGACATTTTTCCATTTTTTGCACAGACAGAGTGGGAAGGAGAGAGAGGAAGAGAGAGAGAGGGAAACATCGATGTGAAAGGGACACATCGAGTGGCTGCCACCCGCACGACCAACCAGGGCCGGGGACAAACTGCAACCGAGGTACATGCCCTTAGCGGGAACCGAACCCGGGTCTCTCCGGACAGCAGGCGGATGCTCTAACCGCTGAGCCAAACCGGCCAGGGCCACACAAAATCTTGTACAGTAATGTTTGTGGCAGCATTATTCATAATAACCCAAAAAGTGGAAACAACCTAAGTGTTTTTCAGCGGCCGAATAGATAAATAAAATATGGTATAGTCATATGATGGAATCTTATTTGCAATAAAAAGGAATGAGTACTGATACGTTCCTTGAAACCTTATCTAAGTGAAAGGCGATAGATACAAGCCCACATAGTGTGACAGGAACTATATTAGTGGTTACCTAGGTCTGGGGACCTGGTGGAGGTGATGAGAAGTGACTGCTAAGATGACTGAAATGTTCTAAAATTGATTAGGATGATGGTTGTGCGACTCTAAATATGCTTAAAAAAACCATGGAGCCCTGGCCAGTTTGGCTCAGCTGTTAGAGCGTGGGCCAACAGACCAATGAGTCACAGGTTCAAATCTAGCCAAGGGCACGTACCTCGGTTTCGATTAGTCCCCGGCCCTGCTTGGGGTCCTGCAGGAGGCAACCACTCGATATGTCCCTTTCACGTGGCTGTTTCTCTCTCTCTCTCTCTCTCTCTCTCTCTCTCTCTCTCTTCCTCTCTCTCCCTCCCACTCTATCTGAACAAAAAACGAAAAAATGTCCTTGGGTGAGGATAAAAACAAAAAACAAAAAAACCATTGAATTGCACACTTTATATTGGTGAATTTTATGGTTTGTGTATTATATAGCAATAAAAGAGTCACAGAGGAGCACTGGATTCCCATGCTCCAGGCTTAAGAGTGTTTTGGGAGGTCTGGGAAGGGGCCAGGAGTACACATTTTAACAATTGCTCAAGAGACTGGTTCTCAAACCACTGCCCCAGGACACTGCCAAGAGGGCACCTGTCAAGTGGCGAGCCACCTCCGGGGACTTGCTTACCCTCTGATGGATCCCTCACGCACTGGGGAGTGAAAGGGGCGGAGGAGCATCCTGCTGCCCAGCTGGGAGACCCAGTCACAACATTCTGAAGTTAAAAAGGGATGCCTGGGCAACCAGCACCTTCTTAGATAAGGAAACTGCTCCCAGAGAAAGGGGAGTGACTTCCGACTCCGGAATGGTGTTCTCCCCACCTCTAGTCCCAGGGGCGGTGCTCTTCCCTTAGGGACAACTCTTCCTGGAAGTTCTTAAGGGTGCAGCTAGCGGCTGTGAGTGCGCCAGGCACTCGGCATAGTGTTTAAGCGTCTTAGCTAAAAGGCTTAGCGCCTTTTCTTCTCCAAACCTCTTTCCTTCAGGTTATCACCCTCCCCGCCTTTCCCCCGGCGGAGCGGCTCTGTGTAGGGCCGCGGGTGCTGCGTGTGTGAGACCAGTTTCCCGCGGACAGGCAGGGCAGGACCCGAGCTCGCTGGGTCGAGGGGACGCAAGCACTTGGCCTCCTTCGCGGCCTGGAGGCGCCGGGCCGGCCAGAGCTCTGAGTCCCGGGATCCCAGCAGAGTCGGCTCCCGGCTTCCCTCCCCGTGGCCCGAGGGGGCGTGTCCCCGACGGCTTCCGGGCCGGCACCCGGAGACGCTGCCCACGAGGGAGGCGCCAAGGTGCGTCCGCAGTCCCCGGAGGCCAGGGCCCCGCTTCAACTCCCCGGGCCAGGCGGGGCTACTCACCATGCGGATCTGAGTGCTGATGAGCAGGTAAGGCATGGTGCTCGCGTCCTGCTCAGGGTACGACGTGGGCTTTGCACTTGGTGGCAACGTCAGACGCTCGGGCTCGGGGACTGCGACCCGCCGCCCGAATCCCGTTACTCCGGCTCTGGCCTTTGGTGGTGCCAATCCCGGTGCACCCGGCCGTGACCGCAGCGGTGGCCAATCAGGAGCGGGTGCCCGTGACGTGCACCGGCCCCGGCGACTCAGGGCCCGCCCCTGCCCCAGGGCATCGCGCTGGGAGGGTGCGTGTCGGGGGTCGGTCTGGCACCCGCTGCACGGGGCCGCCAGGCGCGCCTGTTGCCCTTACACCCCTTACTGCAACACCTCCAGGAACAGGCTCCCGAGCCCTGCTGGTCTCCCCCGTCACAGGGAGCAAACGGGACCCCGCTGAAGCCTCCCAATCTCTAGCCCCCTACACCCAGTGACGCCTCCAAAGCGTTGAGCGGATCCCACCTCTCATCCCAACACACGTTCTCTGGACACTCCTTCGGCGGAGGAAAGACAAGGCAAGGGTAGGAGGCTTTTGGCTACAGCTAAAATACCACCTTGGGTGCGCTCGCTGCGCATTTCCACCTCCCTGGTTGTATTTTCTAGCACAGTGGCTGGATCTTGTATTTCTGAGGCGCTATACGTAAATCTGTAAAGAAAATGAGCGTTTGGCTATGTGCCAAGCCTGGAGGAACTTGAACCAAAAGAATTTGGCCCTCAGTTCAGAGAGCCTTCCTCGAAGCCGAGGCCGGAGAGTGGCCCAGGCAGAGATCAGGAGGCCACGCCCGGGGCAAGAGAAACAACTTCCCCCGCACAAGGCAGCGAGTTCACCTCCGTGCGTCCACGCCCTCATCTGGATGTAGCTAAATCTGACAACTCAACATTCTTTGTCTTGTGACTGGTTCTTTAAAAAATAAAGTGAACCGAAAACAGCCTGTAAACTTCCAGCCCAGGGACTGAAAAATCTTGACTTCACCGAAGAGCTCTTATGCATGCTCTGTGCCCCAGCACTTTGGCAGATGTGAAGAGAACTGTAAGGGAAATGGGAAGTTGTAAAGCTTCAGGATTTGTATTGGCCTAATTTGTGTACTGTACTCTCTACCACCCCACAGGGTTAACAGTTTAGCAAAAAACTGGAAACAGTTCTGTGTCCATCAAAAGTGGAATAAACGCCCTGGTCAGTGTGGTTCCGTGGTTAGAGCAATGGCCCTCGCAGCCACAGGGTCTCGGATTCCATTCCAGGTCAGGGTGCAGGCTGGATCCTCAAGTGCCTGCAGGAATCAACCAATGTTTCTCTCTCTCCTTCCTTCCCTTCCATTCTCAAAAAATCAATGGAAAAAATATATCCTTGGTGAGGATGAACAACAACAAAAAGGTGGAATAAGTTTTTGGTTGATGCTGTTAAAAAGTTCCAGAAGAAATTAAAAGAGTTTAATTCATATGTGATTTTCAAATCAGACAACATAGTCCTCGATATGAACTGAAAACATGCTCTGAGGTGGGAGGGGGGAACAGAGTTTTTATATTTTTATTATGTTTTTAGTTTGTTTTTTTTAAACTCATCTTTATTATTGAATGTATTACAGAAGTCCCCCCTTTTTTTCCCCATTGCCCCCCTCCTCCTCAATCCTGCCCCCCTCCTGCCTTCCCCACACTACTGTCTGTGTCCATTGGTTATGCATATATGCATAGAAGTTCTTTGGTTTATCTCATCCCACCCTCCCTCCCCCCTTTCCTTTGAGGTTCATCAGTCTAACAACCAATTTATACTTCTTAATTCCTTCATCTTTTTCACCCATTCCCCCAGCCCCCACCCATCTGGCAAGCAACAAAAAGTTCTCTGTATCTATGACTCTGTTCTGCTTGCTCATTTTGTTTGTAGATTCAATTGTTGATAGATATGTATTAATTGCCATTTTATTGTTCATATTTTTGTTCTTCTTCAAGAAGACCCTTCAACATTTCATATAATACTGGTTTGGTGGTGATTAACTCCTTTAGCTTTTTCTTGTCTGGGAAACTCTTGATATGTCCATCAGTTCTAAATGACAGCTTTGCAGGATAGAGTAATCTTGATTGTAGGTCGTTGCTTTTCATCACCTTAAATATCTCTTGCCAGTTCTTTCTGGCCTGCAAAATTTCTTTTGAGAAATCAGCTGACAATCTTATGGGAGCCTCTTTGTAGGTAACGAACTGCTTTTCTCTTGCTGCTTTTAAGATTCTCTCTTTGTATGTATGTATTTATTTATTTTTATTATTATTATTTTTTAATCCTCACCCAGGGATATTTTTCTATTTATCTTCAGGTAGAGAGAGAGGGAGAGGGAGAGAAACATCAACATGAGAGGGACACATTGACTGGCTGCCTCCTGCAGGACCAGGGATGAACTGCAACTGAGGTACGTGCCCTTGGCTGGAATCAAACCCGGGACTCATTGGTCCGCAGGCTGATGCTCTACCACTGACTCAAACCGGCCAGGGCTCTCTCTTTGTATTTAACCTTTGGCATTTTGATGATGATGTGTCTTGGTGTGGACCTCTTTGGGTTCACCTTGTTTGGGATTCTCTATGCTTCCTGGATTTGTATGTCTGTTTCCTTCACCAAGTTGGGGAAGTTTTCTGTCATTATTGTTTCAAATAGGTTTTCAATTTCTTGTTCTCGCTCTTCTCCTTCTGGCACCCCTATGGTGTGAATGTTGGCACACTTGAAATTGTCTCAGAGGCTCCTTAGACTATCCTCATTTTTTTGGATTCTTTTTGCTTTTTGCTGTTCTGATTGGGTGTTTTTTCCTTCCTTATATTCCAAATCAATGGTTTGCTTCTTGGCTTTACCTACTCTACTATTGATTCCCTGTAAATTATTCTTTATTTCAGTTAGTACATGCTTCATTTCTGACTGTTTTTTTTTTATCTTCTTGAGGTCCTAATTCCTTGGAGGTCTCCTTAAGTTCCTTGAATTTCTCACTAAGTTCCTTGAATATCTCACCAAGTTCCTTGAGCAAACTTATAACCAGTGTTTTGAACTCTGCATCTGATTGATTGTTTATCTCCATTTGAGAACAGAGTTTTTAAAAGATATAAATTGCTAACAGCTGATCATCAAAGAGATGGCTTGTTAGGGGAAATGAGACCACACACTTACATCATTTATTTGTCATTTGGTGAGGGCAACTGCACTTTCAACAGTGGCCAACTCAGTGTTCAGCAAGTAGGGCTGTTATAGGAGAATAATGGGTAGCTGAAGTTTAGGCATTTGTCAATGTTCTAGTTCGAGCTTATAGAACAAAAGTTTTTGAGTTACTTATCAACAGAAATCAGCACAGAGAGATCTGTTCATTCTGCAGGCAGTTTTCAAGTCCAAGGATTAGAGTTACACTCTGCAAACAACCTGAGTTCAAACTGCAAAAATCCAATTGGGCACGGCCGGTGTGGCTTACTGGTTGAACGTTGACCCATGCATCAAGAGGTTGCAGTTTCGATTCCTGATCAGGGCACATGCCCAGGTTGTGGGCCCAATCCCCAGTGAGGAGCATGCAGGAGGTGGTCAGTCAGTGTTCTCTCTCATCAATGTTTTTATCTCTCTCTCTAAAATAAATTTTAAAAAAATTTTTTAAAAAGGACAAAAAAATTCAACAAGTTAGATATTAAAGTTCTTATAAGTCCTCAATTCATAAGATGGAAACTGTATAGCAATGAAAACGCTCAGTAAAAAAGCAAATCTTGGAAAAAATATACAATTCTATTTTCATAAAGCTCACAAACTTGCAAAACTAAGCAATATATTGTTTGGCAATAAAAACAGAACTGGTCAAATTATAAAGAAAAGTAAGGGAATGACTGATAAGTAAATTCGGGGGAGGTTATCTTGGAGACCAGGGAAAGGGATGGGTGGGGAAAGACATGCAAGCATTTTAAAAAGGCAAAAGTGGAGAGTCCCAGCCATGGCTGAGCTAGCGCATCCTGTGGAGCCATACAGCCCTGAGACCTCTCGGGGCTCCTGGCTGGCTGAGGTACCAGAGCCCTGCAGGGTATGAGCCAGGCCAGCTGGAGGGGAAGAGGACAAACGCACTCCTGGAGATCGCTGCCCCCCCCCCCCCCCCCCCGGAACGAACGCTTCCTCTCCAGCTTCCTGAGGACCGGGGCTGCTCGAGCTAGCAGACTGAAGGTGTTCAGCGGGGCTCGCCAGGAGGCACTAACAACACTACAAACACCACTGTTTTCCAAGAAGCTATCCAAGGGCTCTGGCTACCGCTGCATCCACGTCAAACCCAAAATGGATGGACCCCCATCATCAGCAGGGTGGCCAGCCAGGTCGGACTCAGCCAGCCCCAGCCGCACAGACTACTGCCCCCAGAGCTCACACTGTGGGTGGACCCCCAGGATGGCTTCATCTGCGTCCTGTATGAGGACTTGCAAGAACCAAGTGTCGCTGGGCAGGAGCAGCCCCTCCAGAGCTAGCCGGCTCCAGCTAGCTCCCCTGCCAGCCCCACCTGGCACTCAGCTGTACTCATCCTGCGGTGACATCAGGCCACAGCACACCTCAACCTGGGGAACTGTATTTTAAATATATTTTTAAGAAAAGAGAAAGGGCAAAAAACCTAAAGATATTTTTAAAGAAAAAAATTCTTAAAGGGTGCTGCTTGGAAGTGACCTCCCAGCTGCCTTTGGAGGGATCTGTCATACACTTCAGTCTGGCAGCCAGTGTCTGCCTTTGGGAGGGGGAGCTGTTAGGGGTGGGCCCCACCAAAGGGAGGTGGGACAAGCTTGGTCAGCACTTCAAGAAGATGTGAGAGGGAGCAAGCATGGTTAGCAGCTGTGAATCAGAGAGCAGGATCTGCCTGGGGGAGGGGGAGGGGAGGGGAGGGGGAGGGGGAGGGGAGGCTGATCCAAACCTCTCACTCTCCCAACCCACACACCTGCATCCCTGACCTCAGGAGCACTCTAGTCTGGACTTAATTCATGATGCTTGATCTTCACTTTTATTTTTCTGGTGAGATCCTGGGCAGAGAATGATTCCTTCTGTCGTAAGCAGCTTTTCTTCAAACCATCACCTGTTTCTAATTCTATCCTCAAGGGCCTGTGGGTGTTGCTGCCCAGACAGCAAAGAAAGTGTTTTGTTTTGTGGGGCCAGGGGAGTACGC